ACTTAAAACATTCCTTATATTTACATTTTCCGTGTCTTAAAGCTGTACTCAATACTTGAATTTCTCGCTGTCCTATATTATTATACTTTTACTAGTGTCTCTGTAGCCTTATTGTGACATCACGTTAGCGCACCTTTCTCCGTGTATATTTCTACGCGTGAGTATACACGAAAATGGCTTTCAAATCAATTTCACTAATATTAATTAGCTTAGTAGAAAACCACAGCAAATGTAAATATTTTGGTATTTATAATTTGATTCCAAAAGTCCCAAAATGCAGCTTGAAAATTAAATCTTTTCATGCAACAATTTTTATTTTATACCTCTCAATGTGCCTCAAGAAGTTCTCAGAAAGGTATTATTAAAAGTCGAAATTTTTACTCCGTAAAAGTATTTTAAAATTACACATTTAAAGAAATTGAGGTTCATTTTAATCTAACCAATTATTTATATGACATGGAATTAAAAATGGTTAATGGTGTTTTGCAATGGTAGGGAAATCTTTATACACTCTGCATTGTAAAATGATCGAGGTAAATAGAAGGAATTCAAAAGCCTGGATAACTATTTCTTTTATTCCCAACATGTCTTTGTTGGTCAATGTATTTTGAAATATTAAAAAGGAACATTGTATAATTCGCATATCAAGAAATTTGATGAGTGAACATGTATTTTAATGGCGTCGTTGACATCGTAAATCTGAAAGTATGTTCGTGTTTTTTAAAAGAAAACGGAGTCGGTAATAGTGAAAGCAATGTAATGCTCTTAAATTGATAAGATTTAAAAAAAAAAATTGCGTAGAAGAACTCATTAACAATTTTTATTTTAATGATTTTCCAACCATTTTTTTAAATCACAAATCATGAAAAACAAATAGACAAACCGCATGCAGCCGTTTTTATATCTGCTTGATTGATTGTATATTGTTTAATGTCCCTCTCCAGAATTTTTCCCTCATATTGAGACGTCAACGTTTGCAAATTTTGGACTATACTCAGCAGGTAGGGCCATTGAGCAGGGAGGAATCTTTTTCGTGCCAACACCTACTGCGACATGGGAACTCGATTTATACAGTCTCATCCGAAGCACCGGTATCCACGTCCCTTAGAGGGATTCAAACCCGCGACGCAAGGATCAACCCCTTACTTCACAACTCTCAAACAGACACTCTAACCACTGCGCCACGCTGGCGATTTTTATTATATCTGTAGGACGAAGATAGGTTATTAGTATCTTTCTAAGTGTAAAAATTTGATTTTATAGAAGAGTTCTGAAAATCTTATGAAGAGTGGTATGAAAAATGGCTTTTAACATTTAATCAGCATTTCCGTTCTATACATATAGCTAGCACTGAAGTTATTCTATCAATTTGCACGTGTTCGACGTTACAATGACGTGAAATGTCCTACAGGGACATTTTTGGGTTCGGTTGTTTACTTATAATGTAACCTAATTTTGCATAAATATATTTAATGTATAGTTGATTTTGTTCTATGAAATTATTTCATATCATTGAGAAATAAAGTCTAAATGAATGATCCTCTGCTAGTTTACAGCTCCATATCTTGAATATAAATTTACCTTCCCCGATTTATCAATTGTCATGATGTCATATTCAGAAGTATGGCATCCTTTTAACAAAAAGTAAACTTTCCATACAAATCTGGCCCTTCATTTTTCTATAATATTGAAGTGGTGTAATAAATTAAAATTGATCCCTTTTAAATTTATGAAATCACGTGTAGTAAGAACACACAAATTGTATTGTTCATATGACCTCCACAATTAGTTAATTGTTACGTCATAAACCTGTGCATTTTCCCGTATTTTCTTAAAATGTAGCAGAAGACATCAATTTTAGAGGAATTTTCTTTCAGAAAACATACAGCACATGCATCGCCCCAAAGATGTTTGGATAAGTAATTTTTTCAAAGTATTTTACACAATATATCCAAAATTGAAGTGCGCAACTGTTATGGACTCTATTTTCTAAAGGAATACAATAACAACGGAAATGAGTTAGTTCAGGCTTTTCTGCTTTAAAGAGACATGGACACAGGTTCAACTGAGTTTTAAACCAATTTTAATGCTTACAATTCCTAAATTAAGCATCATCTTATGATCAGCAAAAGTTTGAATATCATTTATTGACTAACAAACGAGATACAGAACTTAAAATTCTTCAAAATGTAAACAAGGCTCATGCTTTGTTTTTGTTAACGTATAGGAAGTATCGTATTGATATCCAAATGAAATTCAGCAAATCACTAGAAACTGTCTAATTGTATTTAGAATTTACTTTTTTATTGAAATTATCTGCTTTGAACGAACATGTATTAGTATATTAATCTTTGTAAACAAAACATGACATGGACCCTGTTTACATAACAAAGGTTTGGAGCTCTAAATCTGTCTTGTATCTCGACGACTGAAGTTAAATTTTTGATTATCATTAGAAAGACCTTAGTTAAATATTTTTCAAAATAGAAAAACAAATGAAATTTTTAGCTGAAACTGTATCTATGCCCCTTTAAACTAAAAAGTGTGCCAAAAATAATGACGTCCTATTTCAAGAATAGTCTTCTCTGACGTCATATTCTTTAATGATTTATCACATTCATATACTCAACTCACATGAAAGCCACTTACGTAACTTTTTAAGAACATTTAATTTTTATGGCATATTGTACTAATTTCATAGAAATTGTGGCACTAAAATTGATATTTTCTATTTAATAAAAAAGATCCATGTATGCACAAAATAAGGATACAAAGCACTCACCAAAAATAACGAAGGGATTGATATATGTATATTTTTTGGCCAAATTTGAACAGAAATTACAGGAAGAGAGAAAACTCCTAAAATACGCTCGTAGAGAGAAATTATAGATTTTTCTTTGGTGTTCAAATAATAACAATCTTTATTATATAGTTTATTTATAGTCCCTATATAATCTATACAAACACAAACAGTTCATAACACTACATATTCACCGGATTTGAGGCCGTAATCACCGGAGGGTCAGTGCGCGTGCAGAGGCATTGTGACGTCACAATCAACACCTCAAACAACGTTGTAAACAATGGTTGCAACGGCCGCAGCCAGCTATGAATATGAGCAGGAAAAATGTATGACAAACCTATATTGCAGGATTATTTGTTAACATTTGGACATCTTACACATAGCGAAACTCGAAAAGGAATACACGGAGGTTACAAATTGTAATCTGGACTTTATTTTGTAAGCTTTTCAACGACAAAAATTCGATGTGAAAATGGCGTCGTCATGCGGCTTTCAATGTCTATTTTATTCACATCCGGACTATATAATAAAACAATTATGGACTCTTTTGGTGTTGAATATGGTTTGTTATTCACCCGAAAAATATCAATATTGGCTTTGTCTCGGTCAATATTAATATTTTTCTGGTGAATAACAAACCCGTGATATTCAACACCAAAAGAGTCCATAATTGTATAATATGCCATTTACTTTGTACATTTAATTGTTTCAAAAATGTTTTACAAAATACCTAGTTTTACTGCTATATTAACATACATTATTTAATCCATGTATTAAAAATGTTATTACTTACTTTGGTCATACATTGGTCATTTCAGAATGGAAAAAAGTTTGTGCTGTATAGTATAAACAAGCATTGAAACTAATAACAAGTGCAAATTCAATTCAGAAAACATCTTCCTATTTAGAAGAATCGAGCTTGTAATAATTTATCATTGTCCTACGTTTTGGTACACTGAAATAAATATGTTGACAGCCGTCAATATGGATACAAAGAACAAAATGGCTGATTTAATTCTGCTTTTGAGAAAACATCCCCAAAAACGGGAAGTTTTTATTGTCTCGCAATCTCGTGGAACCATGGTTAATAAGCATAACAGCAGAAGTATGAACGCTTGTAAGACGATGGAAGTTGATATCAAAACAATGAGTGCTGTTTGATGTTCATAGCCGTTGTTGGATTGTGCTTTACGCAACTGACTGGCGTTTGCTGATAATAATGAAATGTTGATCAAGCCTTTCGAGTAGATAGTTTTAGATGCCTGAGCAATTCCAGGACCTTGATTCACCTTGTCGAAAGTCTGCGAAGAAAATGGTATTCTTATTATTAATAGAGAAGATGCACTAATGGACTTTTGCGAGAAGCACTACTTTATTTTTCAGTTGATGGGTTACGCTTACATTTAAACATGTTTCATGTATGGAGGTACAGAATTTATAGTAGACATCACAAGAAAACATTTCTACAGGTTATAAGTATGGTGTTAATGGCACTTACAAGTGAAGGCCGAAAGTTGAGGGTACTTTGTTGTCGTTTATTATTCATGGACAACTTATTTCTGCTTTACTGAAAACAGCCATTATTTTCATTTAATTAAATGTTGAGCTAATTATTTATACTGTAAAAAAGTCAACTGTAAAAGTTAGCGATCCTCGCAAAAGTCCATTAAGTGTAGACATTATATCAAAACCATTTTTCTAATATCAAGTACATGAAGTTATGATGTTTTGCATTACTGAGAAAATTCGCGAAAAAAGACTTTTTATTTAGTGAGTCTCCTATAACCATTTATTAGTGATCAAATATCGCAAGCAACTATTGTCCAATCTGTCTGACTGTTTTTCGAATGCTTTATTTGAGGGGGGAGGGGAAAATTATACACATTTTGATACACAATAAATATTATACACATCACATACTGTGTTATAATTTGAGCAAAAGGTTCATTGTATACATGAAATTTACTTTGGAGAGTGAAAAATTTAAAATGTTTTGAGAGGGTCCTAAAAACATAGACATGAACCTGATATGTACTCGTACACTGCAGTCAATGTAAGTTACATTTGGTATAAAATTAAGGAGTTTCTTTATTGTAGTATTCACATTGTAGTATTCACACAATAAAACTCCAGTAGACTCCATTAATAGGACATGGAGTTGAATAAAAGGAGAAGGCACTATTTACTATTTACTTACCAAACTAGACAATGGACGATTGCTTGGAATTCTTACTGACACCTGATTTCTTACTGCTTCCTCTTCACACTTATCGAGGTTTATTTTACTTTCTGAAGCCATTCGAACACTCTGATAGATAACTCGATCTCTTCTTTAAAAAGAAATAATCTTCTGTTAAGGAAGACCACATTAAGAAACAGATACATGTAAAACATGGTGTTTGTAAAATCTTTAATGATTGAAATGTATGAAATTGCCCCATATTTAATCTAAATAATATCAAACATAAAATTATTCTTTTGAAAAAACAGTTCATTCTCCAGTTGATTGTATTGAATAACAATCAAAAAACTACATTTATAATAAAATACATACAAATCACGGTGTTTGTAAAATCTTTAATCATTAACTTTTGATAATTGACATCTTATCAAATTACCTGGTGTTGAATACGAGATCATCTTAATACAAGTATTATACAAATCAAAAAATAATTTAAAAAAATTTAATGATTGAATTCTCCTGGTTAATTTAGTTAGTTAACAATTGAAAAGGTACATCGACAATAAAACCTGCAAATATTGTACTTACGTTTTAATTAATTTTTCATGTGGTGGTGTTGCTTAAATAATTTCTTAATCCTTTAAATTAAGACCTACACCTTCCTAGTTCATACAATCAAATGTAATACTAATATCACAGAAATTGCTGAAATACACTGTAATTTCCTTTGCTCTGACAATGAGTTTTCCGAGTTCCTGAACATCGATAACTACCGAAACTGTACATATATTTATATCCTTGTTAATAATTTTATCTTCATATCAATTCACTTATCAAGAAACATACACAGAATGGAAACTTTTTAGTCTAGTTTTCGTTAGAGCTAAAATTGTTCATTAAGTCATTGCGTAACACATTATAGTCAAAACAAACGTTTGGGTAGTTTTATAAGGAGACGAGACTTCAGCCATTTGAAAAATAAGGTATCTGTATATTTGGGTATTTTTCACCGCTGCTGTTTTTTAAAATGCATAACATGATTAACAGAAAAAAAATTTAAAAGAATTATTCGGTTTATTTTTTTTTATATTCGAGTGTCTCAAAGCGAAAAAAAAAATATATTTGTCATTCTTGAGCATGTACACTATAACATTCAGTTATTTAAACATGTGTTAAGGTAGGATTCTTCTCACACAAAACTGTATTTCTTGTATTTAAAAATTGATGAAATTTTCACAGAATCAAGAAGACATTTTGAGAGTTAAGTATTAGAGTCAAGGTTAGGTCAAGGTCATTACCTTTTCCCTGGACATTAAAAATAAAAATGAAAGCATCCAATCATGCGATACGTACTTCTATTTCAAAAGATTATTTTTTTTTTATTTTTGCATAAAAAAAGATATTACCATATAGAATCTATAAGATGATATTACCAAACTGACACAAGTAAATTTAAAAAATTGAATTTTAGCTCTAATCCGAATAATCTCTATTTTTCTTAAATTTTTAGGATACTTAAGTTATTTTTATATGCGCCCTATATTTAAATTTTTCTTATTTTCACATGTGGTAAAGAAGTCATATAGAGATACAAAATGATACAAAAACAAAAAGTTTTGATCGTTTACTAAAATAGCAAAAAACACTTTCTACGGTTTTTGGCACATATCTGCACTTCCATTGGAAGCTTTTAAAAGCTAACATAATAGTAGTTTGTTTGGAAAATCCTACTTATCGAATATATTTTGAAACTTTAGTCCCTTATGATTAATTTAGCTAAATTTTGAAAAATTCTTCAAGTCTTTGATTGTTTAAAAATTATAAAGAAATTCATTGCTCTATAATAATTTTGAGAATCAGAAAAGAAGATATTTTCATACACCACCATTCCGCCAAAAATATAGTCCCTGGTAGATTTCAAACTCAGTTTACCATATCTATTTAATGTTGAACAATTGTGATGAGAAAAGAAAAATGTGATCTTTTAAATCTTTTACATCTAAATTTATAAGAGATATAAGCAAAAACACATTGAAAATTTCATCTAGTCAGAAACCAGAGAAGAATCGTACCTTAAGATTTATGAATAAACATGCTTAAGCGGTATTTTAAGTATTTTTTTTATCTACGGAAGATTTTTGGAATGTCTCTCATTTTTTGAGATTAAACAAAAATATGAATTTTTCGTATTAACATTATTCCTGCTTAAATAATTTATATTTTCTTTTTTTAAATTGAGATATTCAAATAAATTCGACCAAAAGCAAATCAAGCTAGAGGTACTGTGAGCAATGAGCTCACTAAATGATAACCCACCCCATCCCCGCATCCCATATGAATATAATAGCAGTGTTCACGTTTTGCTATGGGAAACCCAAAATGTGTTTCACATCAAAAAGTTAAATAGCACGTGCACAATGGCAATATGTAATAAAGATTCTATCAAATTTCATTCAGTGGTATGAGAGGAGTTGCAGATAATAGATGGGTACCCCAAAGCGTAACAAACGGACGGAAAGACGGACGGACATTCCGATTACTATATACCCTCCCGCTTTTCAAGCGGGGTATTATAAAACCAACAATGTAATAAGGTAGTCATCGGAAGCACTGTTTTCACTGGATTGAAAACATAATATGATGAATTTTGGAAAATAATGATTTTTTAAGATCTTGTTTCAATGAGATTACATAATTATGGTAAACCGGTTTACCACATGTCCAAAAAAGTTTCATATCAACAACATATGAATTGCAAAATGCAGTACATCTACATCTTATAATATTCAAGTAAAATACATATCATATTTAAGATATTACTTATCAGGTGTGTTACTATTCACAGAAATGCATCTTGTAGATAAATCTCATAGACGACAAGCCAAGGATTAACCAAAAAGATGAAAAACTTCAGTCTTGCAATAATGAATCTTGTGGATTTGAATTTTTATTCTTATACTCTGGCGACGGGATCAAAATCTTTGGTTATCGGGAGTGGGGTTGGGCATTCGAATATACATGTAGAAAGTAATTTTCTTTTTTTTTTTTTTGGTGTTCAAATAATCATATTCAACTGTATGCCATTTTCTATAAGAAATTACATTATATACTTTTAAAAATATATAACAATTTTTTACACTACACTCAGTTTTACTCTTGCACACATAATTCTATCAATGTTAAAAAAAATAAATCTTATTAAATATATTGCTGATTTCTGAAGAGAAGAAGAGTTCGTGCTGTTTAGCCATTATACTAATAACACGTGCAATCCTTAATACAGTAACAAGAGAATCACTTAAAATCATCAAACTTTAACATGTAATGTCTGAGAACAGTTTATCACTGTCCCACAGTTTGGTACACTGAAATAAAGACGTTGACAGCCGTCAGAATGGATACAGAGAACAGAAGGACTGATTTGATTCTGCTTTTGATTAAAAACTTCCATAAACATGAATTTTTCAGTGTATGTCCTTTATCTCGAGGAATCATGGTTAACATGCTGCTCAAAAGCAAAAGTATGAGAATTTGTAAGGCAATGGAAGTTGATATCAAAACAATGAGTGCTGTTTGATGTTCGTAGTCCTTGTCGGAATGAGCGCTGCGCAACTGGGTGGCGCTGGATGACAGCAATAAAATGTTGATCAAGCCTTTGGAGTAGACACCTTTGGAAAACTTATGTACTTCAGTGATCCCAGGCCCAAGGTCTACGGCGTCGAAATTCTGCGAAGAAAGGAATGATATTTCTTATTCAAAATAAAGAAGATCTACTAACAATTGTACAAATTATATCAAAACCATTTTTAGCAGCAGGTACACGTATTCTTATGTACATACCCGGGTATTACTGAGAAAATACATGTATATCGGTAAATATTTACAAATCATATGTATATCTTGAAGTTTAAATCGATCGTAAAATTTATTGGTATAGATATTAAAACGGTAAAGGATGTATTCACTATGACAAAAGAATTGACTTATAGGAGAGAACAATTTTCCGGAAAAAGTGACATTTAAAAATGAATCTTTATTTGTTGTTTTCTACCGTATATATGTCTAAATTTTTCAAATTTGTATTTTATACCTAAAATTTATTATTTACAACTTTACAATAAACCTCTAAAGTTGGCCAAAACACCATTTTGTTTGTTAAAGCGTTGATTTTTGCATGTATTTTGGCCTAGAAGTGTTCAGGGCAGGTCTGCCCCTAAATAAAACTGTGATATTTTGATAGCTTGGGATATAAAGAATAATTTAAGATAGGATTTTTTTAGGTGCACCCCTGCCCTAGGGTCGAAATTCACAAAAAACCTACAAAAAATACGGAAACCTGATTTTGATAATCTGCTTAAAATTTATGCTATCCAATTTTATAGTCAGACTAGCTCAGTTGATATATGTGCTGATTATTACACTAGAAAGTTTTAATTTTTCGCCTTTTCAAAGACTCTTTTAATTTTTTTTTATAGACTTGTGCATTTTCTTTCAATTATCTATCCTTTATGCATGCCCATTCTTGATATAAGAAATACTAAAGAGAGATCAGATCGTAACAATCCAATGTACAGTTGTCAGTCAGGCAGAACATCATAAGCACACTTTCTCCGAGGACAAGAATAGCTTACTTTGTGTTATTCGATACAGGTATTCTTGGCAGCATTGAGCTGCGATGAATTTCATTTGTATATATTCCTTAGAATTTAATCACATTGACTTTTGCTACATATATCAGTAACTGTTTTCCTTGGATTTCATTTAGGCCTATATAATTTGCACACATTAATGGTATGTCTTATTATATCCACGGATAAATAGCCTAGACATAAAGAATAGAATTTCAGAGACAGTAGACATTACCATTATGCGCAATGAGAAGTAAAGAAAAATATCAATTATTACATTTGGAGATAACAAACTCAGAAAATCAATTAAAGGATTCCTCCTATCTCTACTCACTGAAATAAAGATTTAGGAAAAACAAATTGTTATATGTATTCAGCCTAATGTCATTAATCAGAACAGAAATCGACAAGCTTCTTGTAGAGAATAAAACCAAGCCCGGTCCTATACGAGGGTTGTTCGATATGTATTGTGTATTGTACGATATCTCAAAAGCATTCGATTCAAATAGTCAAATGGACATTACATCCCTTCAAAGTATTCTCCGTGATTTGAAATACACAATTTTAATCTCTGAATCCATTTCTGAAATGCGTCACGGTACGCTGGTTTAGATATACCTCTGAGGCACTGATTGACGGCTGAGCCAAGGGCCTGTCGGGACTTGTATCGACGACCAGATAAGAACTTTTTAAGTTTTGGAAAAAGGAAAAAGTCGCATGGTGCTAGATCCGGAGAGTATGGTGGGTGTGGCAAGACGGTAACCTTCTCAGACTTCAAAAATTGCTTCACAAGCTCAGATGTATGTGATGGAGCATTATCATGAAGAAGAAGACGAACATGCCTAAATCCCGAGACGTCGTTTCTGATAATATTTCTTGAGCTTTTTCAGTACAACATCTCGGTAATACCGACCTGTAACACTTTTGCCCTTTTGCACCGGAATTTGTACGGCTAAACCATCACAAAAGAATAATATGCAATAAAGGACCTTCTTTGTGCTCATTGTCCTTTTGGCAACTACAGGCCTTCTACCGTGTTTGGTTAGCCATAATTTGTTTCCAACTTTTCTTACTGGTTCGAAATAGTGAACCCATGTGTCGTCACCAGTAACTATGTTTGCAAATTGTCTTTGATTGAAGTTTGGAAACATTTTTAGCAGTCGCTTAGCGGTTTGTATTCGTACCTTTTTTTGGTCAGAAATTTCTGTCCCCACCTACGAACTGTCTCATAAGATACCTTATCAGACCCATAAACCTCCCCCAATTCAATAAAAATCTGCTTTACCGAATTACCGAGTTTTGTGCGAACTTTTATATAAGCTCTAATTTCTTCAATATTTATTAGGTCAACCCTTTTCCCAACCATTTTTACAACGGTGGTCAACGACTGGCTCTATTGAAATGACGATTATATTATAACCATGTATAGATGAAGGCTCGCGTTTATACTGTTGGCAAGGTATTGGATAGAGTTATCCAGGCGTATAAATATCGACAAAATCGTGCAAGGCATTATCGCGCTGTGGTACAATACACAATACATATCGAACAACCCTCGTAGGTCAGATCCCTATTTATAATGAAGTGATCCTTTGTAAGCGACAATAAAAAAATCTAAGTTTTGTATGTATTTGTAGAATGACTGTGTACTAGATAATTCGATTGTTCCTTAAATTAGAAATAACTCTATGTTAAAAGAGACTGAAAATCACCGTGTATGAAAGGACACTAGAAAAGTTACACCAACCAAAAAATGGTAACTTTGGAAATGTGGTGCTTACGTATTTTTCAAAAGGTGGTATTGCATAAATAATTTCTTAATCCTGTTTATTAGGTCAACTACTCTGATGATTCAAGACACACACTTTTCTAGTTCATACGGAGAAATTTAGTCTGAATATCGCACATTTATTTAAATCATTATCTTTGCGTAATTTCCGTGATCTTTGACATTCGAATATCCACTGAAACTGTAAACATATTCATATCCTGATTTTAAGTCAATAAGGAATGAATTGCAAAAACTAAGATCTGGGATGGCTTTTTCTACGATGAATTAAAATTGATTTATATTCATTGTGGTTATTTTCCAACAAGAGTGAAGGCAAATGAAATATGACGAATAGTGTCGATAGTTTGTATTGTTTGAAGATGGGTGGAAAAGGCGGCAAAGTGCCTACAGAAATGAACTGAAAAATGAAATCTCGATTATATCAAAATGTTCTTTTATATAACATCTAACATTAAGGTGCACTTTAGACAAAATCTGTACAATTTACAAAAATCTCACAAAGAATGAAATTATATGCCCATCAAATAACATGCACACACTTAATTAAGGGGACAAAAAAGATCATTTTCCCCTACTTTAATAACATTTTTCGATATTAATGGGTCTTTGCTCCATTTTTTTGAAAGATAATTCTAAAGTTTGCAATCAAAAATACGTTTTTAGTTTACAAAAACGTGGAGTCAATCCACTATACCTTAAGTGTTCACTTTTATTACAAAACTTTCTCATCTTTCCAAAAATAATTGAAATCCATGAAGTCAAGGGTCATATCAACAATTTGTTGACCCACAGCCTCCTTAAATTCGTAGAGAACTACTTCAGAAATAATGAACACTCAAACCTAATCAAACCTAATTGTAATTGTTTTATTGAAGTAATTCATTTAATTCGCGAACTTTTTGATCACCCTTCGTATATACAAGGTGTCTTCAGTTGACAAAATGTTGTTAGATTGTTTTCACGCGGTTCCTGTACTGCTAGATGAGTGATTCCGTGAGTCGAGAGTTCACCTGTGGGTTGGGGTAAAAGCTGGTATCCTTATAAAATTGAATCCCTTCGTGCTCTCTCTCTTTCTCTCTCTGTGGGTGTGTGTATGCGTTTGTGGAGAATAAGATATATCATATTTAAGAACTTTGTCTATTTTTGTCAATAACAGAACGAGTTTATTTATCCGGTTTTAATTTTGACGTTCTAGGAAGGAAAGCAAGTGAACAACTGTTAATTGTAGATACCTTTTTTTTGCGAGTTTTTATAATACAATTAGATGACCTATAGAATTTGTTTCATTATTAAATTTGAAAGGGCAAATACCATTTAGTTCTCCTAGAGTCTTATTCTTTACAAGTACAAGTATTTAACGCAACACAGAATTTATTCAAATTTCCTTTTAGTGTTAACTTTTTTTTTTCAATTTTACAACTATCTCTTGTTAAAAATTATAATGATTGAAATGTCGATTAAAGGAATACGCAATCTTTACATTATTATAACAAATACTGATGCCCCCGAATGACAGCTTTTGGCGAGGGTTGAAATTTCTCAAATGCATGTCAAACTCCAAAGGTTAAAAGGTCAAAAGTATTGGTACACAAAGGAAGTCTTGTGACAAGGAATACGTAAGCGGATCATGTAATTTTTTCCTGCAATATCTTTGAGGTTAACTGCCGGACTAACAAACAAAGAAACACATTTTATTGTTAATATTTACCTCTATATAAAAACATTCAAAGTAAAATCAAATATGATAACATCTAACAACTATAGGTACTGTGAGCAATGAGCTCACTAAATGATACCCCCGCTACCCTTATGGTTATAACTGATGACAAAGTCCATGTTTTGCTGTGGCCGGGAAACCCAAAATATGTGTCGGATCAAAAAGTAAAATAGGAGGTGCACAATGGGAATATGTAATAAAGATTCTTTGAAGGTTTCATTAAATTTCACTCAGTGGTATAAGAGGAGTTGCGGATAAGAGATGGGTACCCCAAAGCGTAACAGACGGACGTACGGACGGACATATCGATTACAGTATACCCTCCCACTTTTCAAGCGGGGGTATAATAAGGTATACTACATACAAAATCTCTATAATTTACAAAAATCTCAAAAAGAATGTCCTCGGTGCTCAGAAAGAAGCTAAAGACGCTTTTCAATGATTTAGTCTTCATGATTTTACTAATTAATATTTTTTAAGTAAAATACATGTCCGTAACATTTTTTATCTAATTTCTGATTGTTTTTAGAACTCATTTTTGGGTATGACCCTTAGTATACTGGAAAATGGCAGATCCAATGATTTCCCGGACTTGTTTCTTCCCTCTGAAAGGTGTTTTTTCAAGTTTGGAAATAGAAACAAGTCAAAAGGTCGAAGATCTGGCGAATATTGTTAATGTGAAAAAACATTAACTTTCTGTTTATCCCGAAAATCCCTTTACTCTTCAGGGCATGCGGGTTTGGACGCTGTCTTGAAGAAATTCAATGTAGTGGATTCCTGATTCTGGGTCCTTCCTCTAATAAACCTTTTGATTTTTTTGCAAAAAAATTGCTTTCTAGACTCCTCCAGAAAAAATTAAACTGTCTCTCCGAATACGAATTTGAACAACAATACCACTAATTTTTAAGAAAATTACATATAAATCTGTCTTTGTGCTCTTGAATACCTGTGCTCTTGTCAGACATTCACCGTTTTTATCAAGTACATCTTATGGTAAATTTTGTTTTGAGGGTTTTAATCAATAGATTCATGTTCTAATATCTGTTTGAAAATAAAACAAACGTGGATAACTAAAATTACTGATATTTTTAAAATAATTTTTACGAATTTCGTATACGCTGTCGTTTTCACTCATTTTTCAAAATATAGGGTGACCTTTGAGTACCAAGCTTTTTACCGTCAAACGTTTCTTAAAAACAGTGTAAACTACTCCCGATATGATGTCTATCAAATTTGCTATGTGTCTTAAAATCAATCATACATCATCAAATATTATTTGTTGAAATTTGGCAACCAATACATAAGTTGTTATAATTTTTGTTGGCAAGGAGGGTACCCATTTTTGATGCCCATTATATAATTTTTTATCATTGAAATCCACCTGCTCTTTTGTCTATAAAACAGGCATTGGTTGCTGTAAATGTCATATATTTCAGTGAATATTTCTTTGGGATTTTTAACAAGTTTTACGGCAGCTATAATGAAGCTTTTATTTTTACTCTAGTTTACTGAATCTTTATCATTCATTTATAATGCAGTGTCTCGAAAAGCCCTTGTTTCTCAGCTTCTCACGATGAAACTATGTGATGAAAAGTGGTCACATAAACTGTTATAAATTCATGAAAGATTCAATAATGAGAGAAAGTCAAGTTTAATGTCATATGATATCTGTAATGTATGTTATATAGTTCAGGACATTATTTATTGAACAGCCCTCGTATCAAACTAACTCTTCCTAAATTGTGTCATTTCTCAGAGTCACTACAAACAACTGGCATAATTCACTGGTACCTGGCAAGAATCCTTGTGGTAACACTGTTAGAGTTCATGGATTTTGCAAGGTGCTGAGATTTCCATTTTCTGTTTACTTGATGAGTAAGGCTAAAGGACTTTTTCATCATTGAGACTGGAATGTAAGATATCATTGGTAAGATTAATTTAAAACTTATTACAGTGGTATTTTTTGCATTTTTGATAAAAACTAATTTTTTTCAGTCTTACACCAATTCTATGTGGTGTTTATTCAAAAATTTCCCATGGAGCAATACCCAACATTGTTAAAGATAAGTTTGATGCTACAGAAGGCTTTTTAGAGGTAAAAGATTTAAAACAAACCACACTTTTTATAGGAATATACACACTCAAACTGTATGTTTTAAATCCGTATGGCTCAAAGTTTTATATACATGTATGCACAAATAAGCTTTTTAACATTTACAACCACCTTTTTATTTTCAAGTTTCTTGAGAATTGGGATGACTATATTACCTCTGCTCCTCCGAGCCCGGCTGGGTGATGCATGTGATCCTGCTAGCTGTGACTGACTCGTTCTGTAAACTCTTCCATCAATCATCACCAGACATTGACCTTGAAGTACGGAGGCCATCGCCCTGGTAACCTGTCCTGATCTCACTTCTGGCAACTGTCCACGCTTATCCAACTGATATCTGGTTTGAAGGAAATAAAATCAATTTCAGCAAAGTTTAAGAAGACATTTTTTAAAAAATTACACAGTCCTTATTTTATGCAAGTACTTATCAAGCTGATAATATAAAATATCTCGTAGATATCAGTTCATGAGAAATTGATTTCAGAAATTGACAGTTGTTCAAGGTTTTAGCTATGAAAATGCTGAAATTATGTGCTTATATATTCTTCGTGTATATTTAGGAATCTACAGTTTTAAAACACAACATCATGCTTTTCTAAATGAACAAAATACTTACCTTGATTTCTTCAATGTTGTATTGTGTAGCCTCTTCACTTTCTGCTTATATCTCCAAGACTCTGCCATAGAGAAAAATACAACTAAATACCGGTAGTTAACATAGAACTCAAAATATGTTCAGATTAACTCACAAAGGATTGATATAGATATATAAGTTGATGTTTCCCCTCTGACAATGTTTAATCCTCAATTTCTTTTTTAATTATTTATACATTATCAATAAGCTGCTAACATTTTTTTAAATGAAAACATACCCCCTTTTATCCATGTGCTGTATTTAAAATTCCTTGTAGAATCCCCATGTTTCAGGCTTCCTTTATGACGTCCATAGAATCCTGAATAACTGAACCTTTCCCAGGTTCTAGTATTCCCTGAAGCATGCTTGGCCTTGCTTTTCCAGGACTGGTTTCTCTGAGGTGTGTAGGATATCCTGTACTTTGACTTGATACCACTTGCTGCTCTCTGAGACTTACTAGTTTTAGATTGCCAAGTGTACATATTGTCAGTCCTGGATTGTGACCGCTGCCAGCTAAGTTGACCTGAGAGAGACTGTGTATTGCACACAAGTGATGATTTATTTTTGGTCCATTTCTTGTCTTTAGAGAATTTCGGATACTTTGGACTTTTCTTTTTGGCAAGATTTCTAGTTATCTGATCACTGATGGGAGTTACAGAATTCATTTTTATCTTTAATGGACTCTTTTTAAAAGCGGAATGCTTGTGTTGATTTCTATAGGGCTGACCATATTTGAGCTTTTCATGCTTTTTAAGTTGCTGATTTCTTAAGACTGGGAGATTTAGGCCTAGTCTTTTTGCCTGCTCCCTTTGTAAATTCTTTGTAATGAGATCTGATATTGGGGTAATAGAGGTGTCCCTCTTAACTCCAAGTGGCTTCCACTGAACACTGGAGGACTCTGGTTTCAATACATTCTTCTTATTGGTCTTTCTTCCATCACTAGGGCCCTGAGTGTGTTCTTCATGACTCCAACTCTGGATATTGGAAGTAATGAGGTCTGATATTGGTGTTATTGACTTTGTTTTTAATTCTTTGTGTCCTGATCTTCTAGGCATTGTTGATTTGTCAAAAACCATTTTATCACTAGCTTTAGATGCAGCTTTGGAATCTGTACAAAGTGACATTTCTGTCTTCTTCTGTATTTCCTTTTTTTGAGTAATGCACATTTTCAATTTACGGATATTTTCCTCAGTCTCCCTTAACTTGTTTTCTAGTTCTTCTTTCTTTGAAGATTTATTGATATTTTCTATTTTCTTTATAGACCCTGTCTGATAAGAACTGCTTGAGGTAGTTGGATTCTGAGCATTAAAAGCCACTTCTTTTATATCTGAACAGTCTTTTTTTGTAATGAGTTTGTTCTTTACCCAAAAATGTGAGCCTGCTGCTTTGACAGATGACTGCGTAGGTTCTGTACTAGAGCTGTACCCATTGCTCTTTGACTCCCTTTGTGGTGCTTTATATCTAGAAGTGGATGCTTGTTGACTTCTTTCCATGTAGTTCTTGTTTTGCTTTTCTTTAGTAGCATTTTGTATCAGAGCTGAAAAAGTTTCATATTTTAAATATTTGACATACAGCCAGTCTTCATATAAAAACTTCTAATAAACTAATAAAAACATAACTGGCACTGATACATTGTCCATGTAACAGGAGAGGAGAAAAAAATGACAGCTCAGACCAGGATTTGAACCAGGGCCCCCCTGAATCTCCAGTCAGGTTTTCTACCTACTAAGCTATTCAGACACCAGCAATCAAGTGTGCATCCATATTCCTCTCTCCTTAAAGGTCTTTAGCCCTTGAAAACATTAACCAAGCTCTTCCCTGACAGGTCATGCATCTGTCACTTACAGGTGGCACAGCACCAAATGTCACCAGAAGGGAGAAAATTTTGATGGACCAGACCTGATTTAATTCCTGGTCCACCTATGCATTTTCTTCTTTCCTGTGATAGACTTGGTTGACATTTACCAACTCTTAGATTTGCAGGCAAAAGTGCTGCAAGGGGCAAACAAAAACTGGGTTTGTATATTGAAGATGAAAACAATTTAAAAGGGAAGAAAAGTAATGATATTGTTTCATGGATATCTACCTTGATATAACATTTGACTAGTGATGCAGGGGTCCTGGGCTTGATCCCCTTTTCCATTTATATATTTTATAAAAAATCATTTAAGGTAGGACACAATAGACAGGCCAAACTTTTCCTCAAATTCAATTTTCCTGAAAATTTGATATTTTGTTCTAGGATATAAAATCTCTCTTTGTGTATGATATGAAAGAAATTCAACCGCACATTTTTTGCCCACATCGTCTGAAATATGGCCTATTAGAGTCCTGTAAGAAGATTGGGAAATCAGACATTAGACTTGAGAATGATCCTTATTCTAGAATTATCAATTGATCTATTGCAAATTTGTGTAATACTTTTCATAAATATAACCTTTTTGTTGCTTTAAGTTAGTAAGTCAAAATATTAAGTAAAAATAGAACATACTTAGCGTTGGAATTGAAATTTTACATGTAAATATCCGACAGCTGAAGTTTTCTTAAGAGAAAATGTATGATTCAATTTTTACAAAAAATCAACAGAATGATTCAAATGGGTCCTAAAATGAAATGTGTAAAAATAAAGAAAATTGAACCGTTAGTTTCAGATATTTTTGCGATCAAAAAAATTTCAATGGCAAAAAAACTAAAAGATTCAGTAGATGACGTCACCTTTGACCTTTTGATATGACCTTGACCTTAGTAGTACATAAAGAATGGAGACTCCTTATATATGTGTCCAAATATCATTGCTCTACTATGTATGGAACAAAAGTTACACCGCATTTTATAACAGACTGTCACATGCTAGTTTATTACACTTAGTTAGCATAAAAACATTCCAAAATGTAAGCCCCCAAGTGACCAATATATAGGGTTCTCTGATTTTTTTCATAAAAATGACGCAACATGCCAAAACATATAATTTTTCTTACAGGGATCATTCATTGTTGTCAAGAAATGGGTTAAAATAGAATCCAGGGGTGTTTTGTCCTACCTTAAAAATTGAGATTATAAATAATGTGCGTTAAATTTTGATTTACTATAGTTTAAAGAAGGTGTTTGTGGCCATGTGAATTTCTGAAAAATCAAAACTGCTCCTTTTTAGTTAAAAAATTTCTTAATTTGTTAAATGTCATTTTTACTCTTAGTGACTTTATATCAAATAAAAATGACGTAATTTTTTTAACTTGTCCATGTATTATGACGTCAGAAATCGCATCATTTTCTTCAAATCTTGAAAATTTCTTCAAAAATGGCCAAAATTTTAAGCCGTTTTGAAAAATTTTCCATAACCCCCAACCTCTGATTTAAAATGTTTAATTATATACCAAAAGAACTGCCTTAGAAGATTCTAATCCTTGAAACAATTTTTAGATCGCGGTGTGGGCTTATATAAGATTTACTAGATTAACATTAAATGAAGAGTGTAATTAAGAGCTGTTGTAAAATGTGTATAAATAATAATTAATTTCACTACAACGTGTATTGTTAATATTAATCCTATGTTAAAAACTAATGTCCAAATAACTGTATCTCACTTCTACTCTCAATGACCGTGTAATGTAGTACAGCGCCGCGAGAATTCCATCGGCATCGAAAGCAGATTTTAGACTTGCCTAGATAGCCGAGCGGTGGGGATTGGGAGGAAGTGGGTATCCATATAAAAGTAAATTTCTTTGTGATTTCTATCTTAAATTTTCCTTACTTAGGGCAGTTATGTTAGATTAAGAGTTGTTGAAAAATTTGCTTTATATATGTACCATATATATACATGTAAGATACTAAACACTGGGTCTGTTTCATATATTACGTTTTCTAATGAACTATTAGTTACACAGTCAGTTAGTGACCTAATACGGATTCATACAGGGTTTGAAATGGAAATACGTATTGGGCGAGGCGAAGCTAATTGACTGTATTACGAATTTATCCAGCTGAACACCTTTTTCAATATAAAACAAATATTTGTGCATATTATGAAAATATTAAGTTTTAATCCAATAACAATCAACATAAAATATCGTTACGGTAACAAAAAATTTAACTAAACTACCTAGTAAACCGTTTCTTATCCGCCATTTTTATTTACAATTTACAATATTTCCATTTACAAATGTCTTCGTTTATATAACACCACTGAAAGCAATGCGTATGTATAATTGTATAAATGCAGGTACGAGGTCAAGAGGTCATAGATGTGCGTTTGGATAAACGTTCAACGTAATCTCTGTGTGACGTCATAAAGTGTCGACGCGCGTTCAGTGGAATACATACATGCCGTTGGATTTGAAAAATAACGCATTTCGCACGTTAAAAGTAACAATCAGGCAAATTTAAAATATTAATAAGTCACAAATGTAAATATAAGTCATAAGGTATCATTTTTTGAGTTTTATTGAGATGTAAAACGGGTTGGCACATGATCAAATCTCCCATAAAGCCCTTCTACCTTATTTCTTAAATAACAACGCTTCGAACGGAATCGCGTTTCCGATTTTCATATTACGCCTCGACGGAGACGTAATACGGAAAATTTTAGGGCTTCACGTGATTAGCTTTTATCCAATCAGTAATCGACAAATTTGTCTGAAGCGGGATAATAATATTTACAGAGCATTCGAGAAAAATAGCTACAATGTCATTCTTTATAATTTTAGAATATTTTAATGGTAATACAGAATTTTTAAAATGCTGTTCACAAGGTATTATTATAATGCCTATAAGGAAAATAAAAAATTGTTATGAATTAATAAAAAGATGCTTAGGAGGAATGAGCATCCTCTGTTGACCGTCAACATCCTCATGAACCCTATATATATTGAACAGGTAGACGGAACATTTCGTAGTCAAAAGTATAAAGACTAAACTTTTCAGCAAAAATACAATTAAAAAAATAAAGGGAATGCAGATGCATGGGAAGTACTTAACTAGTTTTATCCGAAAGAATTTGCTCCCCGATCTTATTAATTCATCTATTTTTCTTAAAACCAAAGATTCCATCTGTATTTTTTTTAAATCTGCTCAGGCAGATTGAAACTGACGACTTTTTCTAGTGAAGAGATAATTGAAAAATAAATATTGGACGATTTCATTAATAAAGTCACAATTTTTCCCGACTGATTCTTATCTATTAGAATATTTTTTAGGCAAATAAAGGGAAAGTTTGGCAATAGTAGACCTGAAATTTTAACCGCGGTGTTTTTAGAATACACTCAAATAGAACCTGCATATTTGGACGTCAGAACAGATCAAGTTATGCTTTTTATGTGAATCTCGTGACTCTTAAATAATTTAATACCATATTTGTCTATTTTATCTTTCATTGTTGTTTTATTTTTGTGAAAGATAATAGTTATGTAACTTTTTTTCATTTCATTGTATATTTTGACAAATTATTTATAACTTTTATGTTAAACACCGGTAGTAAATAATTGATGCTTGATTTTATTTGTATCAGAAGAACTCATGAAGACAAAATTAAGTTTTAACTTACGACTTTTAAACTTTATACACAACCTTTCCCCACAGTCAATTGAAGTCCAGCTGCTTTTTCAATTAAAATGGAACTCGTAAATTTACTTACCTGGTCATTGGTCATTTGCAAAATTATTTTGTTATACACATCCTGATTGCATACAAACATGCTCTGAAGTTGACATCAAAAAGATGCTTGAGTTTCTTATTGACAATACCTTTGTGGTTTTTGGAGACCAGGTCTTCCAACAATCTATTGGAATTCCCGAGGGTGCCAATTGCGCTCCGTTATTAGATCTATTTTTCGTATTCATATGCAAATCTTATGCGTGAAAACAAGAAAACACTTGATATGCCTTCAATTTGACATTTAGATATATCGACAACGTATGATCAATTATCATTTGTAATTTCCATTTTTATGTTGATACGATACTCAGTATATCCTCGTGAGTTAGAAATAAAAGATACAACAGGATCTGGCACATCCTTGTCATATCTGGATATTTACTTTTAAAAGACATTTTGGTAATCTAACAAGCAAGCTCTATGAAAAACGTGATGACTTTTTAACTTTTCTATTGTCAACTGCCCTTACTTAAGAAGCAATATATCTTTATCACATGCATACGTAGTTTATGTATCCCAGTTGATTCGATACGCAAGAACATGAATTACATAAATTTCTTAAACGAGGTAAATTATTGACAAACAAATTGATGAAAGAAGAATATCAGCAATTTCGTTTAAAGTCATCATTTTTTAAGTTCTATGGTCGATACAATGATGCTGTCAGCAAATTCAATGTATCATTGAGTCAAATGCTGACTTACGTTATACGCTGAATTGACGAAGGAACCTCCCCCCTCCCCATTATCATGACAAGGAGCACACGGCGGTTGTGACCGGTCACCAAGGGATGCTCACTCCTTCATAACACCTGATCCCACCTCTGATGTTTCGGAGGTCCGTGTTTGCTCTGCTTTTATTTTGAATTGTTTTATGAACTTTAATTTTAAATAATGTGTACTGTT